GCCCCCTCCCCCCGGCCCCGCGGCCCCTCTGCCCCTCTGCCCCTCTGTCTCTGCCTTCTCTGTGCACAGTCCTGAGAGCAACAGATCTCATTTACTTCCTATGGCTCCCTACCTCCATCCAATTCTCTGAATAAGATAATAGGACTGGGGAGATAGTTCATTGATATGAGTGATTGCTGCTGTTCCAGAGGACTGAGTTTGCTTCCTAGCAGCCTAGCTCACCATGTCCTATAACTTAGCTCCAGGAGCCCAATGCCCTCTTCCTGCCTCTGCAGGCACCTGCACTCACATGCACAAACCCATACACAAATACACATGCATATACATAATTAAAAACAATAAAAATACAATCTTAAAATAACAATTTGATAAGAATGTTTAATGCAAAATGCTAGAGGTAAATAACTCATTAGGATTGTTTTATTAAGATAATAATTTGCAAAAAAGCTGCACTTACCCTGTGGCCTGGTAAGTGCAGCTTCAGCTGCCCTGTACCGAGGTCCATCTGTACAGCATAGCTATGTGATGATTTTCCTTATAGGTTTTAAATTCTAGATTACAAAATTATTTAAAACCTGAAACCTGTTTTTTGACTTTCTCATTTTACTCATAATTTTGTGTTGTTGTTTGAGTTTGAGTTATACCTGGTACATCACACAGTTCTCCCACTTAGTGTACAGATCAGTAGTTTTTGGATCCTCACACCTGCATCATCACAATTTCAGAGAATTTTTTTGCCCTAAAAACAGTCACATACTCAGGAGCTACAACTTTCCCTTTCTCTAAATTCTTCCCCTGTCAGCCATAGGCAACCATTAGCCTACTTTGTATCTACAGATTTACCTATTCTGGAAATTTCAGATAAACGCCCTTAATGCCTTTCTACATTAAGCATGGTTTCAAGGTTCATCTTAGTAATAAGATGTGTTAGTATTTCATTTCTAGTTATAGACTAATACTGCATTGTATCAGTGCATCCCACATTCTTATTTACCCATATACTTGTGATAGACTTTTACAGTGTAGTTTTCCTATTGAGAATGTTACTTTTGACAAGTTTTCTGTGTGTGTGTGTGGTTTTCATTTTCTTTGACACTTACTTAGCAATGCGCTTGCTAGTCATAATAGTATTTAAGGGTTTAGCATTTTTGAAGAACCTCTCACCTAGCTTTGGGGCAGGGGTGTGTGCATATGCATGTATGTATACACATATATGCCACAAACTGTGTGGCGGTCAAAGGACAGCTTGCATGTGGGTCCTGGGGATTGTATTCAGCTTGTCGGCCTTAGCAACAAATACCCCATGAACCATCTCAGTGGCTCAACTATTTTAAAAACTGGCAACAATTACTACACACAGTACACAGTTTATAATGCTGTCAACAGTTTGTAAGAAAGGTTCCAATTTCTCCATACTCTTACCCATATTTGTTTTCCTTTGTCACTACAGCTTTGGATTTCCAACTCCATATTCGAAATGTAGAAAGGATTTAGCACTCAACAGAATACAAAAGGCTAATAACTAATATCAGTATTAGTTTTTATGTGGAAGCATGGGGGAGGTGATACCCAGAGTTTGTGAATGTTAGACAAGCACTTTGCTCTGAGCTGCATCCCCAGCCCATCCAGTTTCATTTTTTAACAAGTATAGTAAATGGTAATAGGTTTGTTGGCTTTACTTTTTTGTTTCACCTCTAAAATTTGTTTTTAAAAATTACACTTTTGATTTTCTTTTCTAGTCACCTCCTTCAGACAAGCAAGACCGCATAAATCAGACTATTAAAAAAGGGAAAGTCAAGAGTATTGATCTACCCATTCAGAGTAGCCTGTACAGACAACTGACCCAAGATCTTCTCAATAGCTACATTGAAAATGAGGTATGTAAGTTGGAGTTGATGTTGAATAATTGTCAGTGTATTCAGATACTGTATTGAAGTCAGAGGTTGAAATATAGGCATCAAACTACTAAGTTGTATTAGTACCATATATAGTACTTTTATCTTCGTTATATGAAAAACAATGTCCACTATAGAGAAAAACCTCTTTGCCATCCCCACCCCCCCTTTTTTTTTTAAAAAATCAGGGCTCATATGGCCTAGGCTGGCCTCAAACTCATTATTTAATTAAGAATAACTTTGAGGGCTGGAGAGATGGCTCAGAGATTAAGAGCACTGGCTGCTCTTCCAGAGGTCATGAGTTCAATTCCCAGCAACTACATGGTAGCTCACAACCATCTTTAAGATCTGGTGCCCCCTCCTCTGGCGTGTAGGCAAACATGCAGGTAGAACAACTGTATACATAATAAATAAAATCTAAAAAAAAAAAAGAATAACTTTGAACTTCTGATCCTTCTGTCTCTACCTTCTGAGTGCTAGGATTATAAATATGTGCCACCACTGTGGCTCCCTCTTTTATTGCCTAAGCAATAATAAAATAGGAACAGCCCCCTTTTATTTTGGCTTGGTTTGGGGGATTTTTTCTGTTTTGTTTTGCAGAGGTGTTAAGGGAGAGTCTTGTTGTATAGCCCATGCTGGCCTGAATCTTTAGATCCTCCTCTGCCTTCTGAGTTTTGAGATCGCAGGCATGTAACATCTCCTCTGGCCTAGCAAGCCCCATTTTAAATTTGTGATACTTAAAAGCTGTTCCGAGTGTTGATTAATGATCTTTTAAACTCTATTGTCATTATTAACATTTTCTCACACGTTCTTGTCTATTTTTATGTTTAGTTCCAGTCTGTTGAGAAGTGAGTTCTTTCTTTAGCAGTAGTTGTATGAAGTGTTGTTTTTTGTTTTTTTTTTTTTTTAATATGCTCCTCTTAGAAGGTATGAAGTGGTATCATAGTTTTAACTAGCAATTCTCTAGTGCATATTTTTATAACAATTTGAAACTTTTTGAATAGGGGAAGATGATAATGCAGGATAAATTAGAGAAAGAAAGAAATGATGCTAAAAATGCTGTTGAAGAATACGTCTACGATTTCAGAGACAAACTGGGCACTGTCTATGAAAAGTTCATCACTCCAGAAGTAAGTCTGAAGTTGTAAGAACTACTTGAATGTTTTTTGACAGTTCTAGTAAGAATTATGAATATCAAATTTGTTATTGTCATTTTTTTCCTGATGGTTCTTAGTTTTTTTTCAAGTTGAAGAGGGATAGTGGAAAAACATGTTTATGGATAAAATCAGAAGAATCTGGTATTGCACTTAAAAAGCATCTCTTTTAATGACTTATTTCTAAGGCATTTGTAATTCCTGTCTCTTAAATGTCTAACTAGGACATGAATAAGCTGTCTGCAATATTGGAAGACACAGAAAATTGGCTTTATGAAGAAGGAGAGGACCAACCTAAACAAGTTTATGTGGATAAGCTTCAGGAGCTAAAGGTTAGTAAATTGTTTTAAGTAGTAAGTGAATATTAATGTTTGAAACATTTTAGTTTTGTAAAAATTATGCAAAAGCATTGGTATTTAGTTTGCTTCACTTTGCTGGGCATGGTGATGATACCTTTAATCTCAGCATTTGGGAGGCAGAAGCTGGTGCATTTCTGTGAGTTTGAGGCCAGCCTGGTCTATGTCCTAATTTCCGAGCCAGCCAGAGCTGAGAGACCCTGTATCAAAAATAAAATTTGAACCAATATTTAAGTATATGAATCCATATGCAGTAAAATAGTTCTTTTTTTTTGACTGATTCTACAAAGTTTTAGCAACTTGATTTGAAATGATTGACAGTTTGGATTAGCTTTGGAGGTTTGTAAAGAGTCAAGAGGTAATCATGAGTGAATTTTTTTTAGAAAAAATAAAGGCTAAAGTAGGATAAGGGTCACTGGAATATATTTATTTGTGGGAAAATAGAAAAGACATGTTTTTATCTAGCTATCTTCTTTGCCTATTTATCATCCTGTAAGGGAAAAATAAATGTATTTCATTTTTTAATGTTTCTTATGTTAATAGAAATATGGCCAGCCCATTCAGATGAAGTATGTGGAGCATGAGGAGAGACCCAAAGCTTTAAACGACTTGGGCAAAAAGATTCAGCTTGTCCTGAAAGTGATAGAAGCACACAGAAATAAGGTACTGAGGTTATGACAGCAGCTGCAGAGGAGGATGTGTGGTGACTGGAGAAGTCCTCAGCTCCAAAGCTGCAGCTTCTCACGTGACCAAGCACACCAAACTTACAGCTTTTTAGTGAAGAATTACCAGTAGAGGACTCCAGCCGTTTAAAGTGTGAGACTTTCACTCTTAGATTTCCCTGAATTCATGCTTTAATCCAGTAACAAAACCCATTGTTTTCATTTTTGTTTCTTACGTGAAAAAAGGTCTTCCTTGACTCTAAACTGCAGTCTGTATTTTTTTTTCTTGCCTAATTTGTTGTTAATCATCCATCTATCATTAATCCATAGTCTCCTTTTGTTCTTTGTACATGCACAAACCTTTCAACTCTCCACTGTTCTGAAGCTTCAGGAAGGGTAATATACATGTTTCCATTTGGGTTAAATAGTAAGCAACCAGTCAGGCCTAACAGACTGTTGAGGAAATTATTGGTTTATACTTTAAAGTCTTTCCTGTGTCTGTTCACCTCTTCATTGCTGCTGTATTGCTGCAGACCAGCAGACACAGCTCTGTTTCAGAAAACTCAAGAGAAACAGGCCATCTTGTTGAAGTTGTCCCTAGGGATCAGGTTTACATCACTATTTACATACTCATTATCACCCAAGTTTGATCATTGATGTTAATACTGCATCCATATGCAGTAGAGAGCAACATCAGAATCATTCAGGCATGGCATCATCCCAAAAGCTTAGATTCACCAAGTAGTTATCTCACAGTCTCATCAGGGTATTTATTACCTATGAATGATGAATACTCTTGTCTCAATTTGAATATGAGAAGATCTGGATATTTAAGCAGCTTGTTGGATTACACCAATAATAAATTATAGGAGTCAGGAGTCAAACTGAAGTAGCTGGTATTAGTGTGTACACATCCTCTCAGTATCTACACAGTTTTCCAGTATACAACTTAATTCTTTATTTTAGAAGATTTGTGTGTTGTAAAAGAAAATTCTGCCTGAGTACTCATAAGCAGAATGTATGGATAATGGAAAAGTAAAGATTGAGGCAGACAAAATACCAAACATATTTCAAATCTGGTATAGTTTTTGGCATGGTGAGTATTCCTCTGACTTTAGTGGTCTTCTTAAGTATGGGTTTAAGATATCATTCAAAGGAAACTAGACTTTACTTTTGATTAGCCATGTTAGTTCTAATTATGTGCCAGGATGTTTTGTGGGTCCTGCGCTTTAGCAGACAAAAATACTAGGCCTGGTTGGTCTTATATGCTTCAGTTGGAAAATAAAGTGGTAATAAAGAGGCTGTGGAGAAAGTAGGGAACCTCTAGGAGCTCTGTCAGAGAAATTGGCAGACCAAAGAGAGTTATACACATCACTAAAGAATTGAGGGAAGCCAGGCCTCAGAATGATGGAGAAGAAATATTCTTGTAAACAGAAAGTGGGGACCAGTGAGTCAGCTTCATGTATAAAGCCTGCTGAGCCTGATGACCTAAGTTTAATCCTAAAGTCACACATGATGAAAAGAAAGACCTGACTACTGTAGGTTGTTTTTTGACCTTCAAATATGCCCCTCCTCCCTGCCACATACACACTTGGGGACACATACAAAAGAAACATCAAAGTTGTTGACTTACATCTGCGGAGGAGACAGATACCTGATCACAGAAGGCCTCATCTGAGCTGTTATGAAAGTTTGGGGTTTACTCTGATACAGGTAGCTTGGCCGTTTTAGCACATAGAGGCAAAGGGCTTGACCTAGTTTGTGAAGAATCTAGTAGTAGACTAGTTAAGATGTTAGAATAAACAATCAAGAAATGATGGAAGCTCAATCCTGAAATGAAGGACCAAAAGAGATTAGAGTTTTGCATTTATCTCATTTGTAAGGTAGAAATATAATAGTCCAAAATTACTCCAAAGATTTTGATATGAGTTGGTTGCATTTTAAAATATATGGATATGGAGAAAACTTCAAAAAGTAGGTAATTAATGAGGAATTTATAATAGTAGATATTTCAGGCTTTACAAGTAGCATCAAGTTGGTTAGACTTGAGAGTTCTGGGAAAGGCTACAGGCTGCAGATAATGTTAAAAGGCATGTATGTTGATTAATGCAAATAACTAGGAAAGAAAACTTAATCCATGAGCTAGTAAGAAAGTGAATAAAATGTAGCAGCCTAGAAGCCAAGTTCAATGTGATAAAGTTTTCCAAAAAACTGGAAAAGCTTAACAGTTTTGAAAATAGTATCCCCATGCTCCCTCTCCTTAACTTTGGGATTAATCAGTATTGAAGAGGCTAAGGCAGAGGATCAGGACAAGCCCTGGTTTGGCTAGGTTTAGAACCTGTCTCAAAAAAATCAAAGGAAAATACAATAAATAAATTTGGTTTTCTTATTTTAATTAGAAAGAACATTATATGTCGATCCCAGGTCCCTCTCCCCTCCTCCCCTGCCCCCCCCAACTAACACCCTACCTATCCCATACCCTTCTACTCCCCAGAGAGGGTAAGGCCTTCTGTAGGGGGGTCTTCAGAGTCTGTCATATCCTTTGGGATAGGGCCTAGCCCCACCCCCTTGTGTCTAGGCTCAGGGAGTATCCCTCTTTGTGGGATGGGCTCCCAAAGTCCATTTCTATGTTAGGGATAATCTGACCTGAATAAGGGAGAGCTCTTGGTCCCCAGACAGATAGTTGGGAAACCATCTTGGGACTGATCCAGACCCCCTGAATGTGAGTGTCAGTGAGGTGAACTCAGAAATCTGAATTTGTTTTTAAAAAAAAATTAATTAGCACACGCAGTATTAGGTTTTATTATGGCATTTTCAAAGGAAATTTGTTTAGTTTGATCCTCTTTACAAACCCTTCTACTTCCTCCTACATATATGTACCTTTCCCCACCTTCTGCTTTTGTGTCATGTGTGTCCTATTGCCCTCCTCTCCTTCCTCAATACCTCATTTTTCCTTGTTCACCCTGTAATTTCCATGCAATCCAAAATATTTATCAGGAAATCCTTGCTTTTTTAATGTAGCTGCTTTCTGCTCTGCTGGCGACTGATAGATGGCTACAGTAAACTGTGACTTCTTGGGTGGTTTCTCAGATACAGATGCTGTAACTGTGATTTTTGGACAGAATTTCATTATCTTTTTTTTTTTTTTTGTCAAGAGTACACCACCTAGTTTTATGGTGTGTTTAGAATTTTCTTTCTCACTCACTATATACCTGTGGACTTACTTTCTCCTTAATCTGCATAAATTCTACTGTGTTTAGCTTCTCTTGCCCAATGCAGAACCTCTACTGATGGCTCTTCTCCAAAGCTGACCTCTTCTGGGAGTCCTTTGCAAGTCTGCATTGACTTTATATTTTTTCCTAGTCTATTCAGTTTGTATCACCTTGTATCTTTACATTAATATGCATGAAGTGTGTAATAAGAACTTGAGTGCTTTAAGAAGAAATTAGCAACAAGCCATTACTTACAAAAATCACTTTTTCTTTTACAATTTTGTTACTTTTTTAATAGGATGAAAGATATGATCATCTGGATCCTGCTGAAATGGAAAAAGTTGAAAAGTACATCAGTGACTCCATGAATTGGCTGAACAGTAAGATGAATGCACAGAACAAATTAAGTCTTACTCAAGATCCTGTGGTAAAAGTGTCAGAAATAGTTGCAAAATCAAAGGTAAGAAACTAAAATTCCCTTTTAAAAATTATGTTTATGATGTGTGTGAAAGGACACAATGAGTGTGTGGGCACACATGCCATGGCTCACAAGATCAGATGATAAATTTGTGCTGGTTGATTCTCGGCTTCCACTTTTATGTGGGTTTCAAAGATAGAATTCAGATTCCTAGGCTTGCCCAACAGGCACTCTTACCTGCTAAACCATCTCGGTAGCTAAAATTTTCTTTTTCTTGGGTTCAAGCACTAACATAATTTTAGGGACTAAAAAAATTAGTGGGTATCACACTGAGAAGTAGTAAACTTGCAGAAGAACACAGAAGAGAAGTTTAAGGCCTGGCTTTGCTTTACTGACTTCAACAATTTAGGTATGAGTGAGTACTTTTTTTTTAAACTTGCTAGACATTGCTGGCTTTTAAGTTCCAAAAGTAATACACAATGAAATACAGCAATGTGACCAACATAATTATCCAGATTCTTTGAGACCTGTAATATCTTTATTGCAATAGGTCTATCTTTTGACTGTGAAATCCTGTTTTTAATTTTATGTAATCGCAGATAAACTTTGAAATTTAATAAACACTGATGATAAAAATGTCAAAAGCTATAAAAAAATCATGAAAAACATGGCACCAAACTATGCAAAGATGGAAGTAAGTGAAGACACTGGGTTAGGGACTGACAAAGAAGAGATGCATACTCAGTCACTAAGAATGCAGGAATTTATGTCTGCATCATTTGCTGTTTGCATTTATAATCTCTGCTGTAGGTGGAAGGACGTGGAACAGTGAGTACTCTCCCCTGACCAATTTAAATTTGTACAACTTTCCTGGGACTTTATATCAGAATATATAATATATACATATATGTAGACATTTGAAGTAAGTATATAACTATTACCCAAAAATCATAATTCTAGAAATTACTACAAAAATTCTAGGAATTACTACTATATATGTGATATAGCTATGAAGTATGATGCTTTAGTTATAAAGATTTTACAACATTGAGTAAAAATGACTAAAAAACCCTAATAAAACCACATTTGTAGGCATAAAACACAGCTCTCACTTCAAAAGAAATAAGGACCTAATTTCTTGTGAGTGACCATGGACCATGAACACAGATACAGGTTGCTCAGAATAACATTTCATCATGGAGGTAGTCTCATAAACTTAGTTCCTGAACAAAAGTGGGTCATAAATCAAGGCATTTATCAAAGGGACCAAAGGTAGAGAAGTCACAGCAGCAGGAAAATCCCATTTCAGGTTTCAGGCACTATCTTATGACACTATTGGCTTTGGGGATAGTGGAAGCTACTGCTCTGATAAGTTGGTCCATCTAAAATGTTTACCAGAGAGCTAGAAGGATTTGAGGGCAGACATAAATGAGGGGCCTAAAGGTATCCCATAGCTTTAGCTCTAGATCAGTACTTCAACTCTCCACAATCACAGCTTAGTCAGCCAGCCTGCAGAATCTCAATGTAGATAGGACATTTTTCTAGGAACTTCAATTTACAACAGTGTGTGTCCACAAGAGTCTAACATCTAGAAGGATGTTTACGGAAGCAGGGGGAATAGTTTTTCCCCAAGGAAACACATACCAATTGGTCATCCAATACCAAGTTGTCAGTCTTGGAATTATATATAAGTAACATTATACAGACTAAAGAGCATACATTTAGGAATATATATGTATGTACATACACATATATGCATAAAATATCAATTAATGAAAAAGAGGCCATGGATTTGAAAGAGAACAAGGAGGTTTTATAGGAGAGTATGAAGGAAGGAAAGGGAAGGGGGAAATGTAATTATAATCTCAAAAATAGAATGTAAAACAATTTTAAAACAAATTATATAAAACTTAAAATTAAATTGCATTTACCTTTACTTTTTTGTTTGTCCTTCAGCTATTTTTAAAAAGATGCTATGTATACTTACCTAGTTCTGTTTATTAAAATTGTTTTCATAAAAATGTTTAAAAACTTCATTTTTTTGAAATGTGTTGACATAATTCTGAAAACATCTGACATATAAAGAATTAAAAATTACACACAGTAGCAGTCAGGCGGTGGTAGTGCATACTCAGGAGGCTGAGGCAGGTGGATTCCTGAGTTTAAAGCCATCATGTCTATAGAATACACAGAGAAACTCTGTCCTTAAAAACAAAAGTAAATAAATAAAAGGTACCGTAAATAGATTGTTAAATATGGGCCAGGCAGTGGTAGCACACGCCTTTAATCCCAGCACTTGGGAGGTAGAGGCAGGTGTATCTCTGTGAGTTCAAGGCCAGCCTGATCTACAGAGTGAGTTCCAGGACACCTGGAGCTACACAAGGAAACCCTGTCTCGAAAAACAACAACAAAATGTTAAATATGTTGAACTAGCAAGTTTTAAGAGGTTAGAGAGCACTGTCAAACATCTTAAGCATTTTGTGTAATATTTGGCATGGTTTGTTTCTGTCTTCAGGAACTGGATAATTTCTGTAACTCCATCGTTTATAAGCCGAAACCAAAAGTAGAAGTTCCTGAAGACAAAGCAAAAGCTAACAATGAACACAATGGACCAATGGATGGACAGAGTGGTACAGAGACCAACCCAGATCCAGCAAAAGGCAGTTCTCAGCATGCTGAATCTGGAGAGATGGACGTGGACTAAGTTTCATGTAATTCCAACAGTGGGATAACTACAGGGTCCATTCATCCTTTACACCCGGTACACACAACATATGTTCAGTTGTTCTTAACTACTTTTGTCATTTGTTTTTTGGAGTAGTTTTGAAAAGTGTCTATATTGAGTGCACTGTTGATGCCCATTGCTGCTGTGAAGCTTTAGCTGAATATAGATGTACAAATCAGTTTGAGCTCTCCTCACATACTTTGTGTCAGTGTGCAGGACTGCTATGTACTCGGCATCCATCTACCTTAGTCACAGCTTGTACTTGCATAGCCCTCAGCTCCTCTATGCAGAAAAAAAACACTGCATTGCTCTTTTGTTGCAGAGGCAGGGGGTTGAATGCATTGTTATTGTGAAAACAAATTGAATTTCATGTGGTTTAGAGCCACCAGCACTGACCTTTTCCTAGTTTCCATATTGTTATCATTTAAATATTAAAACAAATGAGAGGTTCTGACATACTAGTCCATCTCACTGACGCGCCTCAAGAACTCCAGTCTTATCACATAAATGAACATAATGAGTCAGAAAGAGACAGTGCAGAGTTTGACATTCAGATGATACAAGCATTTGCTGCTTTTGTTAGTAGAATGGATTGACTCAGAGTAACTTTTCACTTGAAACTGTTGATTTACTTGTCCTGAAGACCAGCTGCTGCTACACTAACGCTAAGCCTATACCTTCATGTTATGGGGAAGCACTGTTGACCTGTTCAGATGTGCATCTGGGTTGCTGATGGGCTTAGTTCAGTTTTTATAGTTGTGTTGGTTTTAATTAATTTTTGTTAATAATACCTTAATCTGGGGTAGGGAGAAATTGCACACTGCATTGCATTATATATACCTATCACTGATTTAATGTTCAAATGTAGATAGACACTATTAAATAAGCAGTAATTCCTGAGAAGGAGTACCTGTACCTTAAGTCTTAGAAAATAATGCTTGTAATAAACTTAACTGTGTTACATCAGTAGGCAAAATACACAATGTTACATAGTGTAATATGATATGATGTGATTAAATTATAGTTCCTGCTGTTAAATTGCCTTTTGAAAACTTGGCTCCAGGTTTGGTGCTTCTTAAATGGGAAAAGGCACAGTGTACTTCAGCTATATTAAGGAACTGGTCTGGGTTTATCACCAGACTTGTTCACACCATTCAGCTCTATCCTGAGGCTTGGAACTGTTTGTTTAACCATGGGGAGGGCTGGAATGATGTTAAAATCTTTAAGGGAAAGAAGCAAGACAAATGCATAAGCCCTTGTGTTCCTAATGCCAGTTTACTGAAGATCAGCTTCAGTTAAAATTTTCAAAGGCTCTTTCCCCAAAGCTAAATCTTTATATTAAACACAATACTGACTTAAGTAGTTGAAGACTGAGAGTATACTATCTTCAGGGATAGTCATTTCTCAAATGAGTTCTCTAATAGAGATTTTGTTCCTACAATGTAGTCTGCACTGAGAGTGTAGGAGGGTGGGTGGTCATTTTGTAGGAATTTTTATTAAGCTTTTGGGGGAGGAGATATCATTCCTTTTTATTAAGAAAGCATACAGTCACAACATATTTTAAATGTCTATATCTTTTATTAAAGTGGAATAATTAGATTTAATAAATGAAGAAATACATTTTAAGTAGCTATCAGTTACTTTTCATTTATATGGTGAATATATACATAGGTCCATTAAAAAAATCATGGTTGTGAAGGGAATATGTGACCACAGAGAGATTTTATAGCTGCTTCTTGGTTAACACTTGCACTCACTCAGTAAGAAACCTGTTGGAAGTAGCAGGAACATCTCTCCCAGCACCTGAATGTTCAGCAGAGCCTCACATTTTCCATCCTGCTCTTAAGTCACTTTCAGTAGTTTAATGTTTTAGTCAGATAAAACACATTTTTGTAATTATATAATGTCTTGTTTAATAAGTTAAATATATCCAAAGATAATCTATACTTTTCTAATTAATTTTATGTGAATGTTAAAAGAACAAAAACAAAACCCAGTTTATGGAATTTAAAGGAAGACAAATGCATTCCCCTTAGTAGACAATATGATTCTGTAATAAGCATTGAAGTAGGTGATTCTAGATCCCAGACACTTCAAAACAAAAAAGTGCAATTTTAAAGAATAAATAGTCAAAGCAATGTTACCATTCATTACATTATTAAAGAAGGGTAGGAATCAAAAGTTTCTTAGTATCGTTTAATTCTGAAAATACAAATCATCTTCCTTTAAGAAGCCAACCCTTAAGCGGGGCAGTAGTGGTGTACACCTCTAGTTCCAACACTCAGAAGACAAGGGCAGGTGAATCTCTGAGTTTGAGGACAGCCTACCTGATCTACAAAGCAAGTTCCAGGATAGCCAGAGCTACACAGAGAAACGGTCTCGAACCCCTCCATTACCCCAAAAAGATGTCAACCTTTACCAATTATACTGTGTTTATACAAAGACTGTTAAATGGTACCCCCCCCCAAAAAAAGAATGATGTGCAAACACAAGGTGCAAGCACCCAGGAGACCTTTGTCTTCAGAAGGAGTCTGAACTCCTGGCCAGGCTGGGCTACACTGACATCCTACCTCAAAAAAACAAATTTGCTTTGATTCTTTAGCAGTATACAGAATCCTTAAATTCTGAAAAAATAGAAACATTCTATCAAATAGCTCAGGTGCTGGAATAACAGATGTCAGTTTTAAAACAGTAACCAGGTATTTGCTGTGAACAAATGAACTTTATTTGGGTGGGGAAGGACAAGTTTTAGTGTTTGTGATTATTTCCTAACCAGACATCTTTAATTATGGAGCTCAATACTCAGTTTAAAGATACTATTAAGCCAGTCATGGTGGCAAATGCCTTTTATCCTAGCACTCCTGAGGCAGAGACAGACTGATCTCCGAGTTCAGGCCAGCCAGGTCTACATAGTGAGCTCTATTAGACAGCAATTAACACCTCTGTGACTTGTGAGAAATCTACCTGAAATGATGGATTTGACAGAGTAACTGGATCAGTGTGACCTAAAATAGGTAAAGCCATTGTTTAATTCTCATGCAATGAAATGTAATGGTGACCCTTGAAATAGTTCCAGAAGGAATTTCCATGTGGTTTTGAGAGCTGGAGGTTGATAACTCATACAAATTATGTCCTTTATACTAATTTTAGGTTTGGGGGCAGGGACACCTCTGAGGCAGAGAGGGCCTCACTAACATTCTTAATACTGTGTGGATCACTAAGTACCTCCCAAAAAGTGCTGTATTTTAGAATCTTAAATGAGCAGAAAAATATGACTCAATCTGTCAATTTTTGGAATTTTACAGCAAAAACTATATTTTAGCTATATATACAATTTGTTTTGTGATATTCGACTATAAAATTTAAAGAGCTAATTAGCTGATCTTTTAATTGGTATCTGAAGATGAAGATGACTTAACAAGAAACAGAGGTTCTTAGTTCATAGATTTTAGTTTTAATAATTGTTACCCACTTTCTTGATGTTATATTTTTAACAAATCTTTAGCAAACCAATCATAAAGCAGCCAGGAAATTTTAGAGGACAAGACTTTCTGACCAAAAGATTATCAAGTTTAAACATTTCTTTATGGGTTGTTGTCAAGATTTAATCTAAATATTTTTAAAGCAATTCCAAGGAAGCCGAAGATTTTCTTTTGATTAAAAAGTAGCAAATTCAGTATAAATTAAAGACCAATATTTTAACTAAAAATTGTAACTGTTTAACTATCACATCTATCTTTAAAGTACACAAAATTAAATTCTTGGGTCTGGAAAGATGGTTCAGCAGTTAAGATCACTGTCTGCTCTTCACTGAGGATCAGGATTCAGTTCCCACCACCCATATGCAGGCTCACAACCATCTGTAACTCCAGTGTCAGGGGATCAGTTGCCACCTTCTGTCCTCAGCAAGCACAAACATAACACTCAGGCAAATATTCACACACATAAAAATCTCAGAATAATTTATTATTTATATATTCAATGTCTCCAAACAAAACTGGGCTTACAGTGCTGCCAAGCTTCATGGTGTCTTAGTCTCTGTTCTATTGCAGTAAAGAGACATCACGACAAAGACAACTCTTAAAAAAGAAAGCGTTTAGTTGGGAACTTGCTTACAGTTTCAGAGGTGAGTCCATTTACCTGGTAGCAGAGTAGATAGAGTTACATCCTGAATCACAGGGAGCAGACAGAGAGACTGGACCTGACTTGGGCTTTTGAAACCTCAAAGCCCACCACCCAGTGACACACTTCCTCCAACAAGGCCATACATCCTAATCCTTCCAATTCTTCCAATCCTCCTTAAACTGTTCCACTCCCTGGTGACCAAGCATTCAAATATATGAGCCCATGGGGACAAATCTCATTTAAACAAGCAAACATGGCTAAATTCTTACTATTTTAAGCAGTAAGAATGTTGAAAATCAAACTGCTTCAAAGGAAAGTTGTGATCAGCATTTTATAGCTGCAAAAGTTTCCTTACCTTCTGGATTCTTAAGGATGTAAATAGTAACAGATATATTGAATAACAATATATTGAAACCAGGAGCTTTCAAATCAAGGAGTCAAGAGAATAACTAAATCTATGATCATCTGATGTATGACATACGATGTAGTTAAATCCATGGTAATGAGAATAACACGACCCTTGCTTCGAGTATCAAGTCACAGGATGATTTGATTAAAGAAACACATTGAGACCCTAAAATGTATATCCTATAAGGAGACAGTGAGATAAAACATGTCTTAAATTATATTTTGGCATCTAAATAACATTTCACAATCGATGGTATGTAAAATGTCATTTAGATGGCCAGTGTGTTCAAATGCATTTCTCTTTTAAAATCTTGATTTTTCCTTTAACTCCTCTCTTTCACGATACTGAAAGAGTGCATTTTGTCACTCTGATGATTAAATTAGCAATTTAGATAAGTTTAGGAGCTTCTCTCCCCTCATTTTTGAGACTAGGTCTAGATATGTAGACCAGGCTAGCCTCCAACTTGTAATCCTCATGCCTCAGTCTTCAGTGCTGGAATTACAGGTGTGTGTCACCACGACCAGACCTTTGTTTCCTTTTTAATACTAAGTCTTACATGTTAAGATTTGGGGCTCTTAACTCAAATGAAACAAACCAGCTTATACATTTCCATATTCAACATCTCCAGTTTTAATAGCACCACTGAATAGATTCTCCATCTTTTGGGTGTTAAGTAATATGAAGTAGTTCTGGACCAAAAGAAGTCAGTTTGTGAGTGTTGTCTGTCAAGTATGACAATAACAAGGATCATCAGAAAGTTTGATTCTTTGATGCTTTCTCATTAAAACTAAGCATTATACATCTTTCTAGGTATTATTTTTAGTCTCTTAAGTTTGTTCCTTCTCAGAAATTAAGTGAAAACACTTTTAAAATCATGTCAGCCTGCTTAGACTGTAGATGTTAAAAAGCAATTTAAAATGAAAACTAGATACTCTTGTGGCTCAGTGTCTTGGAAGGAGTATCCTAGCATCAGCTGGTCACCTCTTAGATTTGGTAGGAAGAGGCCACTGTTACTTAACATCATACTACACAGAAACAGTTTGTAAAGGAAGCTATACTAAATTGTTCAGTTCTGGTAAAATGGTATTTCAGTCATCTTCATAACCATTATAACTATGTATAAAGTGACTCTACTCCAGTCATTCCTGTAAGATAACTTTTGACAGTTTAATTCTTAGTAACTTTCTTAGTTTCCTTCCTTTTAGAACTGTACATTTGATTTCTCAATTCTGTTTGCAATGCAGAAAATTATAATCAAATGTGGCATGTCTATAAAAATAATTTTGTTTGACATAATAGACCATTACCTTCAATGAACAGACATAAGAATGGCTTTCAATGTCAACTGATAATATTCTACAAATATCATTTTGGAATATGACTTTGGTTCACAAAAATATCCACAAAATGTTTGCATATGGAATGATCAAAGCATATAAAACATTTCCAATGTATGTAAATTGCATCTTCATACTAGCAAACAAATAACAATTGATAATAAATGCAATTCATTTTTGGATGTCAGTTCACATTGTCAAGAAGTCATGTAATAATAATAAATACATATTCTACCTACTCCTTGAAACCTGAGTTTTGCACACCAGAGGTTTAATTTTCAAGTGTTGAACTCTAATCATTGCATTGCATGAAACACTGAGGACAGGTCACCAAATTATTTTAAAGAAATTTACATAGCAATGAGAGTTTTTGAGTTACCTGGCAAGATTTGCAAACTTTTTTTTGTTTTTTTTTTTAATTTAAATTCTTTACTACTCATATTTACATATCCATCCCCCCCATTCCCTCGCCCTCCCATCCTACTATGTTCTCCACCAACCCCCCCAACTCCTCCCCAGGGATAGTGAGGCCCTCCACCAGGGACCTTCAAAATCTGTTACATCATTGGGGGGAGGGCCTAGGCCCTCCTTGCTGTATCTGGGCTGCAATAGTATCCCTCCATAGGGAATGGGCTCCCAAAGTCCATTTGTGCTCTAGGGTCAAAGACTGGCTCCACTGTTAGAGGTCCCATAGACTTTTAATTAATTCTGAAAATCGTATATGGTAGTTTGTGAATGTTAGATGTGTTGATGGAAGGAAAGTGTTGAAAATTCTCAGTAGGTTGAGAAGAACTTCTTCCTGGGTCCTGTTTATGACTTGCTGCTCCTGGAGCCATCAAGGTGGCTCAACCAATAAAAGTACTTGCTAGCTAAGCCTGAGGATCTGAGTCTATTCCCTAGATCCCATGATGGAAGGGGTGTTACCAACTATAAAGTTGTCCTGAATATGGCAGGAATGCACACACACAGTAAAATAAAGAATGCTGCTCCTTGGGCTGGGAAAATGTCTCTCTCTCTCTCTCTCTCTCTCTCTCTCTCTCTCTCTCTCGCTCTCTCTCTCTCTCTCGCTCTCTCTCTCTCTCTCGCTCTCTCTCTCTCTCTCACACACACACACACACACACACACACACCAATAATAATAATAAAAAGGAACTGCTGCTCCTGGGGCTGGGGAGATGTCTCAATATAATGCAAGTACAAGCATGTGGATCTGGAGCATCACTTTACAAAAAAGCTGGGGTTAGTAGTAGCACTTGCCACTAACCAAGAAAATGGAAATGAGATCCCTGGGGCTTTATGATGTTATCTAATCTAGCTATATGGCAAGTTACAGGTTTAGTGAGAGACCAAGTCTCAAAAAATAATATGAAGCCATGTGTGGTGGTAATCATCTTTAATCCCAGTACTTGGGAGGCAGGGGAAGGGAGGATCTCTGTGATCAAGGCCAACCTAATCCACATACCTAGTACCAAGCTAGTCAGGGCTACAGACCTTGTATCTAAGTAAGCAAATAAAACCTAAATACCAGTAACTAAGAGGTGTCATATATTTTCTAGTTTGAAGAGGATATGTGGCCAGGGCAGTGGTGGAGCATGCCTTTAATCCCAGCACTCGGGAGGCAGAGGCAGGCGGATCTTGAGACCAGCCTGGTCTACAAGAGCTAGTTCCAGGACAGGCTCCAAAGCTACACAGGGAAACCCTGTCTTGGAATAAAAAAAAAAAAAGAAAAAAAGAGGATTTGTGGCTTTCAGAAAGACCCAAAAGTGAACAGATGAAGTTATGCTAAGAAAATACCTACCAAATGTGTTGATGTAAATATTTTGTGCCCCCTACATGAATAGTATAAATGAAACATTTAGAATGTAAACAGGGTATACTTTGATTATAAATAATTTGATTATAGAAATGTAGCAGCTCTGACACAAGTTTTAGAACATAGAAAGTAACTAGCAATGAAGGTGAATCCCATGGGAACAGTGATAATGGAAGGCAATAAATAAAAGAACAAAATGTGACTGGATGTAATAGATTTATATCACTAGTCATGGATATTTTAATAGACTCTGACAAACTTTACATACACATAGGATATTTACAAAAACAGTAAGGCCACAAAGTAAAGCCCAGAATACCAAGGACTGTCATACAGAATTTAGGCAACTGTTAATTAACCTATGAAGCCAAACATGGTGGCATACATCTAAAATCCCAGCACTAGAAAGAGGATTTGGAATTCAAGGCCAGCCTGAGCAAGACCTTATATCAAAAAAAAAAAAAAATTCAATTGCCTATTAAGACATTACAGAAATTCTTTATGCTCATGTGCTTGAAATTAAAATTCTAGAACATTAAATCATGTTGAAAATTAGAGAATGTTTCTATAAATGTAAACATTCCTTAAACAAAAACTGAACCCATTAAATTCTAGGGTTTTTTTTAATGTGTAGTTATCAAAATACATGTTAATTATAATCTCTTCACACAAAACAGTTTCTGCTCCAAATGACAGGAATATTTATCTTTGTTTTCAGGCAGCTCTAAGTGTGTCTAGCACATAATAAGATCAATAGGTTTTTGTCTTTAGAGTTTATTTTTGTAAAGTATATGTGATTAAGGGTTTGTATACGTGAGTGTAATGCCCACAGAAGCCAGAAGATGGCATCAGAGACTCTGGACCTGAAATTAACAGGAAGTGAGCTGACAACCGTGAGTGCTGGTCCTTTCTAAGAGCAGCAGTTCGCAATCAGTTCATCAAATCTCCAGCCCCACAGATTTTCACAGTAATTGAAAAATGCCAGCCAAGTACTTGAAGAATACTGTTTAGCTTGCAGTAAACAGTGTTGTGTTCATCTAAAAACAAATTGTGGCAACTCCCCTAAGTTTGGTTTTCTCAAGGTTAATACAAAGACAAAAGGACCCGAACGATGGCCTCACTGATAAAGTACCCACTGCCTCCAGCTCCTATTCCTGACTATAAACTACCCTTTGAAACCTGGAGTCCCCTAAGATGATCTTTGTTGGCAACCAAAAGGCTTTCCTGACTTTTCAAATGAATTTTTAATTGTTTTCTTTATCCAAATGAATCTTTTTCCTTGTCTCACTACTTGTCCTGGAGTCATTGGCATTTGAGGATAGACCTGGTTGGCTAACACTACTAGGATTTCTACTAAGAGTATAAAACACAGGCAGACTGAGAGATAACACACTACGTGGGACCTTCAGAAAACAAGTCATTACTTTTGATCTTTTTACATCTGAGATCTCAGGACAGTTAGGCTAAAAAGCAAACCCCTGCCTGTACACTTACTAATACTGACTTGTAATTACCACTTTTCTGCTTGTAAAGATCCTTACAACTACTCTTTCTTCAGAACATTTTTCAAGGAAACTTGTGTTGATTCCGTAGTCTTAGTCACTCACATACAGCTCAGAATAAATTTCTGTGAGACAGGTAGCTCAGAGCTGGCTCCAAACTCAGGGCAAAACTACCTTAGTCTGCTATAATTTTCAGGAATGAGTCGCTATGCCTAGCTTTTAATATGGGGGGGGGGTGCAGGGGGACGGTGAGTTGCTGAGAGGAGGGACTGGAACTGCATTGGTCTGTTGAGTGCTATAATTTCGGAATGAGTCGCATGCCCAGCTTCTAATACACCGGTGGTGGGGGGGGGACGCGAAGGGAACTGGAACCCAGGAGCTTGTGCAGCTAAGCAAGCATTTTACCACTTAACTACATCTCATGCAGTTCACCATACACATAAAAACCACAACGTGTACATGGAGGGTAATCTAAGGAAGGCAATGGACTATTTCGAGACAGGGTTTCTCTGTGTAGCCCTGGCTGTCTTGGAGCTCGCTCTTTAGACCAGGCTGGCCTCAAACTCTGAGAGCCACCGGCCTCTGCCTCCGGAGTGCTGGGATTAAAGGTGTGCGCCACCACAGCCCGGCTGGATTTTTCCCCCAGTTCTCTTTAGGTTAAAAGTCTAGACATTGTTAAAAATGTTTTAAAGTATTTGCTAGGGAAAGTAAAAGCCCGGCGCGTGCAAGGAAGGGCCTCTACTATTGCGCTCTGCCCCTGGCTCTAAAACTGAGTCGTTCTTCAGGTCAAGACGTAACCTACCATTTCCAAAAGTTCTCGGCTATAGTGGACGTTCCCCTCAGTCTCACACTGACCGATTTCCCGCAAACTATTCCCCACTTCCGGCGCAGAGCTCGGAGACCCGGAATCCCCTCCTGCGCATGCGCTTCGTTCTCAGAAGTGGCGAGCGTCCTGACGTCACCGCCAGACTGGCTCGCTGAGAGACCGGCGGGAATTTTTCAAAATGGGAGCACCGAGGCGCCGCCCAGGCCTCAGGAGGTACCGGGGGTACCTTTCGGTGGCGTTGGCGGCGGCGGCATAGACAAGGCAGCCTGATGGGCTCCAAGACCCGCTGGCTGCTCGGAGCGCTGCCTCGGAGGGACTGCGACACGGCCGAGTCCGGGGCCCCGGATGCCCGGGAACATGGCGGCGTGCATCGGGGAAAGGATCGAGGTGAGGCGGGCAGACGCGGAGCTGAGGGCAGGCCGGGAAGGCGAGCGCAGTGCTGGAGGGAA